TCCATAAAAACCCCTTCTGGTACTAAAATCTTATTCTTTGAAGAGATACTAAATTATTCTATCTAATAATCACCAATATTATAATAATTTATTATTAGAATGAATCACTTAACTAGAATCTTATAAATTTAAACTGCTTAATAGTAGGAAAAGCATACAAGGTTATTAATAGGTAAATAATAATTTTCGAACTTGATTTTCATTACAAATAATGACTATAAATTTTAATTTTGAGAAATCAATCTTAAAACTTCGTAGAAGTGAGCACACTATCACTTAGCTAATTAATATTTTTGAATATTACTCTTAATCAATATAAAGCTTCTATATAAACCTATGTTAATAAACAGTCTCTTGTAGCACAAAAGTAAGTTGTGAGAAAGGATTAAACGAGATGTAAACTAGTGAAAACTGGTAAATGTGTAGGTGGTTCTTAATAATTAATTAAAAGAATCGACGCAAACTCTACGTGAAATACAAAAAAGAAGATATCATAACAACAACAAATTGAATATTTATTTGCATATGAGTATAACATGTGATAAATGTCATGAGAGTTCAACGACGTAAACAACACTCCTCTTGACTCATTCACTCATTTATTTTCTACAAATTCATTGACACGTAATGAAACCAAATAAACTGTATATAGAAAATAATTTAACTTTAATTTACATTATACAATTGATATACAGAATTATTAAATAATTATGTTATTGGAATAAAAATATTATTTTTGATATAATGAAAGTATATTGTTAGAACATTTAATATTTATACAGACGTAATTCCTGACATTAACACTATTTATAGATTGATAGACGTGAAGAAGCTTATTCTTTAACCTTGAATTCCTATGATTGTTTAATAGACAGGAATTTAGACAGAAAAGTTCATAAACAATCTTAGGTTCTTAACGTCTAAAAAATAAATATTTAAAGGAATAAAAATGGCTATTGAACAGAACGGGAGTAAAACTTTTAATGAGTAAAATACTGATAGATATAACAGACAATTTTTAGAATCTAGCTCAATGTAAATAAATATCATAAATTTGATCGTATCGTTTCACTATCGCATTTTATAGTTTATTTCATCATTTAAAGTGCCCAAGTTAATTGTTTACACAATTAAGGCTGTTATTAAATTGTCCCTTATAATTCTGATATAATGTATCACGTTTTACTCAAATCTTTTTATTAACTTATTCCCTATTCTAAAAAATATTATATTTTAAGTTTGATGACAGTTAAATCCATTGAAATACATTTCCTGATCTTCTTGATTTATACGAGGAGTCAACAATACAACCTTGAGGTTTAATGTTAAAAATTGCTCGCAAAGACTGATTTACTCCACCTAATTTACCAACATTTACAGTGTTATCAAATATAATGATGTTAGGAATGGTATATATTAAGAGTTATTATTTTTTTCATCTTAGAGTAAATAACCTCTGTTGATAGAGATTTTTTTTCATATACATTTGCATATTGATAATATTTTCGTTATCATTGTAGACTTCTCTTTTCATCTACTTTCGTATTCGTCAGGAAATTTTATTTATTCTACAAAAAAGTGTAGCTCAAATGGCCATTTGATCTAAGTAAAAATCTAGGTCACTAAACTAAAACAACAGAAAAAAACGTTTTTGAGATAAATAAGTAACAGTTGAAGTTGTCTCTGCTATCGTAGTTCTACCTGCTTCATATCTAAATAATTATTTCTTGATATGATATAAAAATGTATCAGGCTAGAACTATTCATTCTATCAATACATTAAGTTTTATACTAATTAAACAGTTTATCAATAAGACAACTGATCTCTAATATAAAAACCAATATTATGTCTAATCTAAGATTACATTAAATTAATACACGATCAAAAAAAATTATTAATCTATTGATTAACCCACAAATATTTCTCACTTCACAAAAGAAGAAATACTTTGATTTTACGACTGTGCATTACTCTTTGAGATATTACAAATGTATATAATTATTTTTATTATTGTCAATCTATCCGATCCTCGATTTATTTGAAATTAACAAGTCCAATGTTAGTACTGGTACTGATTATGTGTCACTGATTCACTACTTGACATATAGACCCTAGTTTTGTTCTGTAGTAGAATCATGGGCGCTCACTGCAAGGATATCCCATCCTCGGACAAGATAGTTTCCTAATCTTTTCTGGTTTTCACTGGTTGTCAAATCCAAGTCATAGATGTAATGATACGGAATATTTTACAATAATTACAACTTTCTATACTAAAATAATATCATTATATTTATTATTGTACCACAATAACTTAATTGCACACTATTCTACTTATTCAATAGAGATTACAAATTTTTTCATTTATTTTCTGTCTGACTTTAAATTTGTATGACCTTCTGACGAGAATGTTAAACTACGTGATTATACAAATAAGTGAACATATTTCTATACAGAATACATAATAAAATAAGACAATATACTAGGATTTTTAGAATTAAGCTAAATTTAGATGAAATATAATTAACAAGAAGATTTGAGTAAGTAATAGATTAGCATTAAGACGAGAGAAAACTTGATTTAAGCTAATATGTGTAAATACTCTATATTTCCATAATAAAGTACAAGGTTTTCTTGAAAACAATAACACTAGTAACAGAAGTGGTTATCTTGTACAATGTCATCAGTTAATCAAGCTTCTAAGCTTTCACTTAAGTTGTATTGCGATATACATATCGATGTAACTTCACAAATGTCTGTTATTCAATACTATGATACAGCTTCACTTTTCAAAAAGAAATATGCCATTTGTCTGAAAGTCATCTACTTAAAAACTTATGTTGAATTACAGTTTACGGCTGTTAACTGAGTTTATTTTATCACTTGGTATCCATCATATCTTCTTGGTTTCCTCGTTTCTATACAATTTGATCACAAATAGGCTTCTCAGGACCATATTTGATTTTTCCTGCTTTTGAGGACAAAATTTAGTATCCAAAGACTCTCATCCACCCGAAGTAAATAAATGGCCCAGTCCTATCTGCTGATAAAGCTGAGATAATTTTATCTTATAAACGCCTTGACTATCAATACAAAATGCTTATCATACATTTAACCTCATCATATCAAACTGTTTCAGAACTCGTCGTTGTCAGTACTTTATCCATCTCATCCTTTCCTGAGATTCTTATAAGCCTTAGGGAGTTGGTGGCTGACGAGATTTCAGTGTAGGTATAAGGTGTTGGCCTAGGTCTTTTTAATCTTACGCCACCTGTCATTCAGCCGATGCTTCCGCCTATATGTCATAGGGAAAGTATGAAGTATGATTCCTGGAGAGAAATCATGAGTAGATTACTAGTGTCTGATTATGAACACCGTTGCAATTTTAAGCGTAAATTAATGAGTAAAGAAAGTAAATGAACTAATGAATCTTTGCCATATATGATAATTGAGACGTATATTCAATATATCTAACTACCAAGTACATTGACGTCCCTTACTAGTGAGTGCAAGATTGAGTTCAAAGGAGGCTAGGACACATCAATGAATTTTGATTTAAGGAATGTTCAAAAACGCAGACTTCCTAGTATGGGTCAATGACACAATCTAAACCTGTGGTCAGAGACCTTAGGTGGGATATTTTGAAATCCTTCAAAGTGACACAGACATTCTTTTCTTCCTTATTTTCTACTATTGTCATTATGTTTCATTACATAACTCACCAATTAGGCATTTTTCGTTTCTATCTTGATATGAACCTGAATACATATGTGTCAGGTCTTATCTTGTTAACATTCATACTTATTTATCATAATACATCTAAAAGGTGAAGCTCCTTTACACAGATACCCCCATTTTTAGGCCGCATTAAATTTGACAACTGATCTGGGAGGTAGTTGAAGAACAAGCGTATAAGGACAAATATTCAGTAACAACTCAACGACTTCTAATTTCGCACTTTTCGATAAATTATCATTCTATTCATTAATTAAAAATTTGAAAATTTGAAAACTTCTCAATAGAATAAAATAGTGAGATATATTTGGCCCATAAATACAAATGATTACACATTTATCACCTTTTTTTCAAACTCAAAGTATGTTGCAATTTACAACAGGTGGTCTTTCTTTTCTCACTTTTGTTTACCATAGATATGTTCAATTAGCCGATCACAAATAAACGCACACACACAAGAAAATAAATAGTTAAACAAATTTATCACAATGTCCTAGAACGAAATACACTTAATCTGATTGTTTACATTCTGGCCAACACTTTTTATATATACTTGTACAGTAATCGTAATATTAAGAATAATGATTAAAAAATAATATTAATATTAGTGAAAACTAAAAGATATAAGGGTTTTCTTTTTTCATGAAACATAAAAAAGTAAAAACAATAGCAAAGAATTAGAATATTCGCTTTCTTTTACAACTAAAAATTCATTTATTTTGCTCTACAATTGCAAATTCAGAAAAATATTTGTATAATTATAGCATTAAAGAGTAATTCTTCATGTATTGTATATAATAGCTGGTACAAAAAAAAAGTTTTTTAAGGTATATAGTTTCATTGACTTTTACATAACAAAGCCAAATAGAATTATATAATCTATAAAATACTGTGACTTTAATGTCATTGACTGACTAGAAATTCTCATGAAAAAATTATTAATATGAAGTATACTTTAATGATAGAAAAACCAGATAACAGAAGTCTTAGGAAGTTACAGAAAAATGCCGTGTGTAAAGAACTAAGTTTTTGAACTACTGTATGATGTGATCTAATAAAAAAACAGTCGATTTATATTTGATCCTTCAATTTCATGATGATGTTTCCTTCAGCATTAAGATTATATGTTCCGAAGTATAGTAAGATAATCATAGCCAAGAAACTAAATAAAGCGGGCCAGTTTCTGAATTATCGGATAATTTAATCAGGCCAACAAAATAGATGAAAGAACTGAATGTAAACAATAGTTTCTTGTGTGTGCAGTTTTTTAGTTTTGTCGTGAACATGACGCTGCTATGGCTGCCGCTCCTTTTCCACTTCCATCTTCAGATAAACGTAGGCAGAACTATATTGAAATATACATAGAACAGTGATTATTATAAATGTTACTTTAGAAGGATATAAATTAAAAATTTTACAATTAATATTTCGTTTAAATTAATTTCATTGTTTTAAACATATCAGCCTTTTAATTTTTTTTATGTACATGTACGTTAATTACTTCCAAGTGAAATGATAGAAACTATGAGATTTAAATATCTTTTCTCTAGAGAAATAATATTCACATAAATAGATTTGCATTCAACCGTAATCTCTTCAAAATAGAAGAAATTCGAGCAGTAAATCGTTAATTTATCCTTCCCCAGAGAATATTTTAATATTGTTATGAATTTTTTCGAGCAATGCAATATATAAAATATCTAACAATAAAGTATGAGAAATATTTTGAAATATAATAAAAACATTGAATTTTTATTTACTCGTGTACTCTTTGGCTTTAGCTTATCAACCATATCTGTCATTCGTTCACAAAACTTCGGATGGAATTTATACAAAGAGCCATCAACACCAATAGTTACTTCTGAGCGTTTTATTCTTCGAAGAATGCAAGCAATACCTGAAAATATATGATAGAGAATCCAGTTATTAAATGTTCAATGTGTTAAAATATTTGTGCTCTTTTGAAAAATGCGGTAATCTATGCGTAACAGTTTATGCGAAGAAGATCGATCAACTCACCTGCTCCTGCTAGGTATGCCGCCCGTTTAACGACCATTTCACAAGCATATCGTACTATGCGATTATCTATAGGCTCAACAACAGGGACACGCAAGTCATCAGTAAGCATATAGTGAGTATTGTATAAAAGGTGAGCAGGATCTCTGAAACAAAATTTTTAGAAAAATAGGATTTCTATATAGAGACAACACTTGAAATATGATATAAATGGGAAGAGAAATATAGTTTTAATTGTCAACATCGAGAAATAATTGTTTCTGAATTAATACTACACCTCAACTGTCCAAAGGTAATAATTTACTATCACAGTTCATTACGTACTTCATGTACTAAAAAGTATTAATTTCCCGACTGAGTGAAGGATAGAATATAAGCTGCACCAACGAAAGTATCAACATAATTTAATTCACTGGTGCAGAACCAACTTTACATGATCAAGTCTTATTTTTTTTCTGTTTTGCTTTATTGGCCACTTGATTTCGTTAATGAATGAGCAACTTTTGAATAATTACTGTTATATCTGGAAAGTAGACAACTGGTAATAGGACATCATAGTTTGCAATTTTGAGTAACATTTTGCTGTTATCACAAAATAGAGTTAAAAAATTGTAAAAATATATCGAGTTAGTCACAGAGTCTATACATGATCATCAAGTTTAAAAATCTATAAATCTTCATATGGAAAATGAAAGCTGAGTTCACAAGTCAGTCTAAGCAATGAGAACCTAGAAACACTGAAGGGCTATTTCGTTCTAGTACAATCCCCAGAACTGATAAAAATAAAAGCACTGTATATTTCTGATGTCAATCTTACTCATCATAATTATCATCTAAGTGAAACCAAATATTACTTCGCGTTAAACTAAAAGTGACAAAAATACATACAACTTGCTATAAACATCATTTTAGTATGTAAAACTAAATCGATTAAAACATAAGCGTTTCAAATAAACCTTACCTTTCAACATCTGTTAAGTATCTAGTTAGCAGAGAATTGGGTACTTTCAAACGTTCAGGGAGTTCTCCACGAAAGAGAATTTTTTGTTCAACAAGGTAAACAAGTATGTGGCGAACTAACTCACCAAGATACATCCCAGATACCATTTTTTCATATCTGCAGGAAATACAAAACAGAAATAAATTATAAAAAGATTTTGAATGTTTGGAAAACATACTTCTGCACGATATGTGTTGAATTGGAAAAACTGAGATTCTCGATTCAAGGACTTGTGAATTATAAACACTGTTGTTATTTACTAATGTGTATAAAATAATCTGAGAAAAATGCTCTTACACAAGAATGGTTTTAAACTTGGATATTTTCAGTTAAAAAAATCATCCCTAGACATAAACATCAATGTTTCTAGATGTTTGCAAGCGTTTATGACAAAGTATAAACAAAATAGTTGTTGACTACAATAATTTTAAGCATCTATAAAATAAAACTAACAGTTGTTTTCCTGGGTGAAGACTGTCTATATCCATTGTTTTGTCAAACTGTGTTCTCCAACAGTCCAATTCCCCTTTCTCGCCGAATGCACCCCACTCTGTGTTTATAACGACTTCGGGTTCTTTCACGTCACTCATCAACTCGACTTTCGAAGAGTCCTCAATGTAAGCAACGTTTGTTCCCGTCCCTACAAAACAGGAAGATTGAAAAACAGTTGGATAAAAATGCTTGGATGAAATCTTTGTCAGTCAGGTACTAAATGAACTTGGTAAAACATCAAGCGTTACAAATAGCTATATGTACACGTATTTTAAAAATTTCATCTTGGTAATGAAATACAGCACTTACCAACTATTAATCCAACGGCACATTTTGAGTCCTCAAGAGCACAAGATGCAAGTGTACCAACTGTATCGTTTACAACTGCAACGCACTTAACATTTAATCCCTGCAACAAGTAGAAATTCAGAAAGTTAATTACATAAACGTGATACCACTTTACCCAGAAGAAATGGCGTCCTACGTCTGCTGATATCAATACTGATTATAAAGAACCAAAATTTTAAAACTCAAAATACATTTAACATTAAAACATAGAAAAATGTTAATTATTTGCAAACAAGGTTTTATGATCGTACACTCATTGGTGAAACAGCTTTTTAGATATAAAATTACTGACTCTGTAATTTACTCTATCTCAGTCCTAGTGTTACTACACAGAAACTATAATTGTTAAAACTCTGTTGTACACTTCATATGCTGGTCTTATAATGAAAAGGACTGTAAACACATTCACTTGTATAAGGTAACACCTGGAATGTTAACCTTCAATCAGATTCAATTAAATAAACTGTGAGAAGCCTTTTCATTAAGACAAAAATATAGTGGTCACAAAGCAACCTAGAACAACTTAGCGTTAGGTATATTAGTCGTTGAATATCAAATATATAATGTTAGTACTGATATGACACCACAACTAACATAGACTCATTTATTGAAGCGTACTAATGCAATCAAAACCAAGTCATTTTTACAATTTCTCAATAAAATAGCAGTATCTTACCGCAAATAACTACGTTTTTAATAAAATCAACCCTGTAAAAGCACGATTTAACAATTTCACTCACTCTTTTATCCAGCTCATTTTGCAGCAATTCAGCAACATTATGACCTTCTACTCCATCTGCAGAGAAACCTTTTGTCCATCTCACCAATGTAGCATGAGTTAGGCCTTTCTGGACACATGGAAAAGAGAATGTGAATCCGAGGTCGAACTTTTTGTCCTTCATTCCGTTGTTTTCCAGAAAGTCAGCCAGTGTCTCAGCAATATATTTAAAAAGCTACGTAAAAAATGACAATAAGCAATTTATCAAATTGTTTCTAAACATATACATCTTTTGCTATTAAGTAATCCATAATTAAAATAAAACAAGCTAGCTGTGCAATTTATTTTTCAATGTATATGCAAAAAGTCAACATAGAATGTTTGGGATAGAATCTAAAAGAATGCTAATTATATTTTAAGAATATGATTGTAATGAGTCACTTCAGGCTATATAGCTTTCTACAACAACGACAACTCTGCCTAATATATATTAGTCTCAAGCTCTACGTTGGCTATGGATAACTGATAAGATGATTTTAACAGACTCAGTGAACACTCAAAGCAAGTTTAAAATAGAGTTTGAACACAATTCATGCTTTTTATGAATTTCAAAAACATTCTCAGTCCGTAAGTCTGTCAATTCTAGAAAATAACTTTGATTAAGCCATGGAAACCACAAATACGTTCAGAATTAATTATTCATAATCCGACCTAAGTTAGGTAATACAACTAATTAATCTAATACAAATGCGTCCATTCACCTACGATACAGTTCTGTTTAACAGCTTATGTGTCTGCAAAGCCACCTTAAACAAAAAGGGATGAAAGTTACTAGGACTTCAGATGTTTCGATTGAAATTAAAGTGCGTTTAATTTAGTCTAAATAACGTATTTTATGGTTAACATTGCATTTGGCACGGTTATTAAATCCTTATTCGTAAATGAAATGCAGATATTTTCAAAATTAAAAAATCAGTATTTCACTACATAGAAGTGGCAAATAATGTTCAGGAAACCCACCCATAACCCTTTATCTGAGGGAATACCGAAGACGTGTTATTCCCTTGCCTTCAAACCAGGCTATCAAACAAAGTCAGATATCCTGAGAGTCTAATAAATCTTGGTTGAATTGGATAGAGTAATCTCTCGTGAACCAATCAGTTTGACTTTAAACCAAGAAACAAGTTCCAAAGTTGTGCCATCTTCAACACTTGAATAAACTGGATAGTTTACTTAATAAAACGAAATCAAGACTAAAACTGGTTCATCTCATGGATTTAAAGGAAATAAGATAGAAAACACTAACCGACGTGAAAATAGGGACAAAAATAAGGTATTGTTCACGTTGCGAAAAATAAGCTCGACATTACAACTAACCTCAGTTCCAGAACCCGACATTTTTTCTGCAGGGATACAGTAAGTTCTTTCTTGAATTCTTGGGGATTTTCCTTTGCCTTCAAGAGTTACTGAGAGCACTCGATAGTTTGTTCCACCAAGATCTAAAGCTAAGAAACTTCCAGTTTCTACGAAGATATAAAACCTTTTATGCTAAAATACCTGTCCCATTTGGTGTTCTTGTAACATAAGATGGAAACATTTTAATAGATGATTTTTCATTTGTACTCTTCTGTAAACCTAGACGCATTGACTCTCCCATCCTATCACAAATCTCCTCATAGTCAACCACAGAAAGATCAAGCGGCTTGAGTATCTCGACTACCTTCTCAAAAAGTTGCTTGTCTGAAAACACCATTTTGTTTCGCAATATGTCGCGAACTACAGCTTAAACTCTTTAAATATTACCCTTCACTCCATGAGTGTCGTTGATACATATAAACAAACTCCTGGTAAAAACAGCAATCATTAACAAATAAGAGGGTAGATAATAAAATATCCCAAAAAATCTGGTTAAAAGCTCTATCGCTGTATTGCTTCTACTCAGTTTCATTTGAAGGGTTGCGCTGACCTTTCTTCAAGTTACTTAGATTTTTATCAGAAGGGGTTTTGTGGAGATTTGTAGTGATTTCAATGATCGAAATCACGAGTCAACTGAAGCTAGACCACTATGGAAAACCTGGAAGCACTGGATGGCCGTTTCGTCCTAGTATGGAACCCAGTACCACTGAATCGTCATCCAACGGTGTTAATGTCTAACTTCGACCAATCCACGAAATTACTTGAATTTACCATCCACGTAAATGTTAATGTTTACTGATATTTATTTGGATAGTCATCAATATTCTGAGAAGAACTGTCAAGTGGCCTAAATTTTTTCAAGCGTCTTCATTTAGGCAGCATAACAATAGCTGGTACTTTGTAAGGTATGGCATGTTAATATGACACCACTTTATTCAGCCAATTCTAGTGCTTACTTACCTTCAGGCCTGCCGTATAAAGCACCTATCTATTGGCAGTACGATGATGACGGACCCACGATCTCATGTTGACGATCATGTGCCAACAGTTTGGTCAGGTATTTTCCGGTTCAATAAATTTGTTTTATTTTAATGTTTTTCATTCAAAGTAGTTTGTAACTTGGCTTGAAGTTTATCACTATTCACGCACAGAGTACCACTATGACCGAAAAGATATGTCTATGACAGTCAATACCATACTTTTTGAGTTGGACGAGTTTGTGCTGACACTTTCTGCCTGCAGAGTGCTGTACAAACATTACAAAATTTACCAACAGTTATTTCAAGGTACGATTAAAGTATAGCCGAACGTCCGTTGCCTATCGATTGACAGTCCTAACTTGAAATCCTATGATCATTTGAGTGTCATTTTGGAACGAATTGAGAACTATGATTGTAATTATTATTGTTATTCAAAAACAGCCTATTGGTGCATAAGTGTTGCAAAGAAATCATCTTCTGTTTCTTCAGAAATCTAGTTATACACAAGTATCAGTAATTTTCGCCGTATCTAAACAGGTTTTGTAGGATTTAGAAGGATATTGAGTTGAATTTGTAAAACGAAAAGTTAAAATTAGGGAAAAAATGAAGTAAATGTCTTAATAAAGTTAGGAAATATGATAGTCGGGGATGAGACCACACTCAAACAAAAAGTCAACACTTTAAACAATATGTAATTATGACAATATTATGCGATAGCTTTGATAAATTCCATTTCACTTTCCAGGCATGGGAGCGTTTATACCACAAAGAATATCAGCTGAGGGTCCCTTTTAATTTCACCATTACAAAATAATTATTTACATACTATCCAACCATTAGTCCGATAATCAGTTCATTACATAGGTTCCTTTCTAATACTGTCCTGATGACCATAAAAATCCAGAATTTCACACTTTTAGCTACTTTTCTCAACTCAGTTCCTAGAATCAGTTTTAGTGGTAACTACTGGAGATATACAAAATGATACTCTGCGAAAAGAAGAAAATCGTTTCGAATGGGCAAGAAGACCTGGTCAACCAATCGAAAAGTTAATTCTTCGAAGCAAGATTAACATCTCCATGTTTATAATCACCTGGTCAACTGATTAATAAATTCAACTGGGTCTACTTCTCTATTTACATGATAGAACAGTAAGGTTAAAATCAAGAACTAGGATATGTATTTAAGAGAGATTAAATTTTAAATTATGTCAGTTTATGGCGAAATCAGAAATGAAGTAGCTGGAAGATATATTTGAAATGTTGTCGGTTAAACTGGACGTTAGGCGTTTGTAAGCCTGTTCGTGTAAGCGTATATTCATATTCATTGAAGAAGGTGAGGAATGCACACAGTGTCGTTCCATAAGCAGGTTGTGCTGCAATGTATCGAACGTCAGTTTTCACGGCACTACAAACACCACGTAAAACAAGTGGGTGTCAATCCACTGTGAAACGTTTGCATCTAAGAGTGAAGCTTCCAACTGTCAGTGAAATCGTTCTACCAGCTCGTTTCTTCACGGGTGGCAGATGTTTGTTTGGGATCGTTTTATTCCCGGTAGTGTATTAGGACAACGGAAAAGTCCAGATTCAATCTGGCATCAATTGTCTGTAGTGATAGTTGAGGAGCAGGCGAAGTTTGTTACTCACCGTTCGACAAAGTTGAGGACCATTGTTTTCACAGTAATGTTCTCCATTGATGTTGTTTCTGGCCAACGTGTGAAATGGTCTACACATGTCAAAAGGATGAAGTATCCATTTGAATCACGTAAGGGTCCTACCAAATCAAGATGAACACGGTCGAAACGAGTTTCGGGAGTTTTGAAAGAGCCGGAGCGAAATTTGTTGTATCTAGTCACCTTCGATTTTTGACAGCTTACACAAGAGTGCGCTCACTCCCTCACTTCTTTATTTGTACCAGACCAACAAAATCGTTCCGTGATGAACTCGATGGATGCTCGGACACTTAGGTGAGAAAGCTTATGCAACTCACTGAAGACGTTGCGTCGATAATGCTTCGGCACGACTGGACGAATTTTTACCTGGTGAAATCTGTTTGGTCCGTAGTTTCAGGGCCATCGAATGTATGTTTGGAGTAAACTCCGGAATGTAGTCTAGTTATCGATACTCTCGAAGAGGAGCAGCTGTCCGAAGTCGAACACAGAGAGGAGGAAAAAGGTTTACTTTCAGTAAACATTCTCGGCCTTCTACAGTGTTGAAAGTACCATACAGTACAGTACATGGCTAGGAGTTCCCCACCGAAATTGATGTTCCTCTATTCAGTGTTCTACAGCCCTCTAGAGAAGAATGTCGAAGGCTATCAGCTACTGTTTAACCGTTGTTGTAAAACTCTGATTGCGGAGTCTGGTGCGTCTACTGTGAGATAGTAATGGGAGCTTCGATGTCCTGGTGTGAGTGCATAGTTGCTTATGCAATAGTTTCCTGAGCCATGGAGAATGTTTTTTTCTCACTTTTGTGCAAATTGACCAGTTTCCCATCCACACAAGTCTTCTATGATTCGGTATTAACCAGTGATAAAAACTTACTTGGCCGTTGAACACATGCATTTGCTTAACAGTGGTCGTTTTTCGGTAATTCGGAATGTCCGCCACTTTGTTTTTTAAAGGTCGGATACACTGCGTATCAATAGAATGCCTAGGAAAATCCAGAGGGTCGGTGCCGATTTCACATTTCCAAATGCCTATGGTATTGTCGTGCTTTTGTGGTCATTCAAAGACAAGGTTCAGATGCTGGAGGTGAGATTCTATTTTCGGACTGGATGGTTGAATAATTTTTCGATTTATCATGTGGTTAATTTCAGCTGTTCGGGAGCAAGTCGACGCACTTCTGAGAATACATATGTTCCTATAGTCGTGATATGATATGTAACATTGGTGGTTATTTCGTGCCTAAAATTAACCTTCGTTCTATTGATAGAATAAACCAGAGTAGCAGTGAATATGTCTCTATTAGGATCGTCGCGCCAAAGCCGGTTGACTACCCGTTCAAACACATAAAGATTTTTAACATTCAACATAGGATAGTGACCAGAGCTTGTAAGAGAAAAGAGGATGAGGAAGTGCCGTGAGTAAGCTAACCAACACCATGTTGGTGAAGCAAGATCTTTCCATGCTCTGTACGGCAATCAGATGTTTACCCACCTACCTCTTGAGTCCCCTCAAGTAAAAACTATAGAATCTACTCCAAAAGCAAAGAAGGAAACCAATCAAACTTGAAGAACTACTCCGCTGCGTGCATAAGATTATAAGGTACACAAAAGAAATACACAAATATAACTGATGATTGTTCGGTTGAAGGTAAGTGTTTGGCTTCCAGAATGGATTGGTAATCTGGATGGCTTTTGGAATTCATCGTTATTGAAAGGGTTTATTGTGCGGATTTACAGTGCGTGTTTATAGAAAATTTGTTCCTTGTTTCATTCTAACTTTCCCATCGTATATTATTCGTATCAATGTCTAAGAAAATGTTTAATTCGGCAACCGGAGCTTACTCACATACTTCGACTTATCCGTTTCCATATGCTTACGTTTTATATAACTCAGTGTTTGTTTACGGATAAATGACTTATGTAATTCGTGTTTTTAAAAAATGAATGTAACGCTCATACATCAAAAGTAAAAGGTCTGAGAAGTGTGAGTAGCATAATATTTCAGACTATTATTTTGGTAATGTTTTCGTTAAACTATGTTGACTTGCCATTATTATTTCTCCACTCGTTACCTTATCTACAACTCATATAATTCTATACTTTTCCGCCTGTTGTAATAAACAACTATTCTACATTACACCCTTCTTAATGCTTATACTCTGATTCACAAACTATACTTTATACTATAGTCAATCAAAGCATTGCATCGATGATTTATCCACAGCCCATAACTTGTAACTGCCTGATAAGCTTGTAAAATGGTACTTGTAAAAATAGTGTTTTCCAATAGGTTGTGAAACAGAGGATTGTGTGAGGTATGACATATATCCAAAAATAAGCTTAAATGAGCCTAACATCACAAAAGGAGGGAGAGTGGAGTTACTGACCAGCAAGCATTGATGGTGAGGGCGATGACTTCAATCCACCCACGTTTGTGGGGCAGGACATTTTGTTTGCCAATCCATCTGTGATATAGATTGTCTTCCTACGCTTACTACTCAGACTCATGTTTCCAATTTTATACTGGATTGGCTATTCTACTAAGACAACCTATAACATGCTGACCCAGACTTTTACACTAGGGTTGTGTGGCTGACATCGGATCAACAAAAAAGAAATGAAAGAAAAAATCAGACAATAAAAGATATGGTTATTAGTATTCTTAACACTTCACCCTCTATATGCACACTCC